ACAACACCTTTTACAAGTAACCATAGCCAAGTAAAACTAAATGGCCCATGTAGTAGTAAACACAAAAGTTATCACAACATGAGCGTGCGAAAGAATTCAAGTGTATTAATTACAAAAGTATAAAACAGAAAAACTTGGTCGCGGTTATCTGCTGCAGTTTGCTACTTCACGTGATAAAACAAAATGCACTTACTAATAGAGTATAGAAACTAGAGTACGCACTGATCACGTCACTCCTATTCCCACAACGTTAATGATTTATGCGCATGGATCGACCGCCGCCATGTTATTTCCGGGAAGTTTGAACGTAAATACCCGTATGCGCACTACCTAAGGATTATTTTCAAGAATAAATCGTTCCGTGTAAAGTCTGCCGTGATGATGGAGGATTGTTTTACAAAATAGACCAGATGCCTTATTAACAAGCTAGCCATAAAGTAATCATTAAAATCGAAAAATATTTTCTGTTAATATTTTTGCTTGAATCTGTTAGTTGCCAAAGTTGGCTTATAAGTAAACATCTACTAAAACAATTTATTGATATATTTTAGAACTTCATTGGGGAAATATTTAATTAGTATTTCCAACTACTGGTTAATAGTTTCGCATACCTCCATGTAATTAGACTGCTCTAAGCCTCCTCTATTTTTACGTACTGCTAATTGAAACCTTACAGTTTCTTTTACATATAATGCAATATTTGATCAAGGTACTCCGAAGAACCTGACAAACGGTTGGCGAATTCTAAATTTGCTCATTTGTACGGTGAAAAGCAGAGTCATTAAATAACACCATTTTGGGTTCTAAAAACGCTACATTAAAAAAAACGTATAAACTACAGACAATTAGGATTAGTGTTCCATCCCCCCCTTCGTGCCCGACTACAAGGCATGTCTTGGGACATCTTATAAGTCAAACAAACAAAAAAGGTGATGGCATTGTTAGGAGCTATTTTGTTAGTTATATAAAGAGCAGATCGAATACTGATCATAAAACCAACGAAAGCTGTTTGTTTTCCGCACAGATACTGAAGATGAAGCAAAGCTATTTCTCACAACCTAGAGATTCAGATTTTAGGCTAGCCCCGATCGTGATTACTAACTTTGTTACGATAAGAAACATAGTTTCGATTATCCATTTTTACGTTAATTTATCAATCTCAATCGCAAAATGTATTCAAATCCACTAACGATGGCTTTGAGGGTTGATTATGGCCTGGATAAGTTAATTAATGTCTAATTAATAAGTTTGATAAATAAAATAAAACCAAGTACGAACAATCCAAACCATTAGAAAAAATTCGAAGTCCTAAAAAAACGGTATAGGCAAAATAGTGTAATAAGGCAAAATAGTGTAATCAGCTTAAGGAACATTTCAGGCCTAGAAAGAGACCTACAATAGGAAGATTTAGCTCTTGCACAATGCATGTTTAAATTACGAAAATCGAAAATATAATGAATTTTTCAATGGAATCGAATGGGTGTAAAAGAAAGTGACGTACGTTTTCCGTCTGGAGTGAGTATCCCATTAGACCGGTATCTATAGTTATTTGATTGTCATAGGCACCACAGCTTTAAAGGCTCAATACCACTCTTGTTGTAACTGAATAATATGTCCCAATCTATATTCTGGTCAACAAATTGTACTATTTTAGAATATTTCAATTAATTGATGATACAAATTTCATCTTAACACACCTTATTTAAAAATTTTGAAAAATTCAACATAATGGTTTGAAACGTCTAAAGTAAACCTTTTCAAATGAAACTTCGATTTAAAAATATTTTCAAACCCTCTGGACAATTAAAATAGGATGTAATGGATAATTTACACAACAGGTAGGACACTTAAACATCTAGTACTTAGATAGAGATATTATTTATTTTATGGAGATTTCAAGCCAGCAAGAGTGTTATTGTCCCTTTAACAACCAAAGCGTGTTCTGTGTAGGATAAAGCACGAGACTGAGGAAATACTAGGGAGAGAAAGACGGAAAAGAAAAGTCGAGGACTTTATCTTGCTTATAAACCGCCTATGTTTACATGTGCGTATAATGATGAGAATATCCCAAAATTCCAGACAGAATAACTTTATATATTATATCATGTTTTCTTACTAAAAAAAACTACCCTGGAAGAATAACCCGTTACAGGATTAAAGGAAACCTTCCGCTGTAAATATTCAAACCGCAAATTATTTCGGGCATAGTTTGAGTATTTCTTTCTTCGGGACATATATTGTGTACATCTTCTGTTAAGATAATAATCAGGTTCACAATTACAGATGCGACCCCATTTCCAATTGTAGCAGAATGGGGTAGGTGCAATTAAACATTTTAAAAAGGTGTGGGCTGGTTGGATATCATGTTCCCGAAACAACGACTGCGCGTTCTACGACATCTGGACGTTGCTAGATTACTTCACAATTCCCTAACTTATAGCTACGTTATCCGCATACAAGTGAACAGTAGCGTCCAGTCAGAGGCTGTGATATAGCGACCTCAACAGAAGCCTTAAATCTGAACGAACCTGAACTTTGCAAATCGATTATCACAAGTACACATTTTAGCTTAAAAGCGCGAGACTTGGTATTCACGACGATCGAGGAATCTGATATGCTCACAAGCTGGGCTTGTACCCAATCGAAATCAGTGTCGAAATATACAGGGTATTACGTGAAGGGCCTTGATAAGATGTACGTAGTTAAGGGGAGATCAAGCCTTCTATTGAAGATGGTTGGGTACAGGGTTATCACTTGTTCACTTGAACTTCTTTTGTGTTGAAAGAAATTAGGTCATGTAAATTTATTATATATCTTCAAGTTTCTTTTTAGGGCGTGGGGTAGTCGCCCGGGGCCTAGTTGTGTTGGGTTGAGTGTTAATTTTCGCATGTTCAGATGTGTGCCCCATGTCCACACGCTGTCTCGTGATCAGTTAGAACTCTAGTTTATATATATATATATAACTGTGTCAAAGCCATATACTTATAAGAAAAGCAAACTGGGTATGCTGAAGAAATAGAACTATTGATTTGTTAAATTCAGTATCTAACTGTTCACTGCATATAAGACAAATATAATCTGTGTCCCATCGTTTGAATCAATTTGTGAAATAAATTCGCCACAAGCTTCAGTAGGCTTGAGCAGCTTCCGCATTGACCCCCGCGAGTTATGGAAGAGTATCGCTGCCAATATTAAATGCTCTGCGACAATGTCGTTTCCATTGATTATATGTAATAAGTACAAAGTCCTAATACCGATAATGATAAAGTCAAAATACTTCTAAAACAAGAGTCAAATTGTAAAACGTCAAATGTTAAATGACAACTGTTTTGTGGGAAAATGCCTTTTTTGACTTGTCTACATTTTACATTCTCTCATTACATTTTACATTTGCGCTCTGTCACATCCCATTTGTCCTTCACGCTTTCTACATAGAATCTTTCGCACAGCATCAACTTCAATATGCAAATGTAGGATATCACGTGACTTATTAACATATACGGAAACCCGGCACACTATAAACCGGCACCGATTTTTTGTACAATCATGGACCCTAATGCATGACGTTACGGTCCGATATGCGCGAATAACGACAGCAATCGAGACCTTTGAGTTATAAACACCCATTTCAATTCAAGTTTCATTAAAATCGGGTACAAATCGTGACTTCTAGAGGGTCCACATCCTTGGTATTACATACTTGTACACTATTTGCGTAAAAGGAGCGGCCATTTTGTCCGGCAGTTTTGGTTTGATTCTCACGAAATATTATGGTGTAACGGTTATATATTTGAACGATCTTTTAAATCATAAAAATTCTGACCCCAAGTTTTCGTACAATCAGGGGCCATAATCCAGGAAGCTGCGGTCCGATATGCGTGGCAATCAAGGGCCATAATCCAGGAAGCTGCGTCCGATATCGACAGGAACCGTGATCCTTTGATTATAAACATACATTTCAAGTGTCATCAAAATCGGATAAAAATTGTGACATCTAGAGTGTCCACAATCTAAAAACGTGATTTTTGTACAATCAGGAAAATCCATGATGTTTTAGTCCTATAAATCCCAATTGCATCAAATTCGGATAAGAATTGTGACCTGTAGAGTGGCCACAAACAAATTGTGGACGCACAGGGGCGACGATAATATACGTCCCCATGAAAATGTGGGCGTATAAAAAATATGAATGAAAATTGATTCAGCTTTAATCCCCAAAACGTATATTTTGATACTAAACTCGATCATATAATTGGGTGAAAATTGGAAGTTACAAGCCAAAACTGGCGACCATTTTGGATTTTTGCCAATTTGACCCATTTGGACACGGATATTGGACTGGTTTTTTTTGTGATATATACGTCCAGGCCGACCTTAAACCGTAGTAAGCATTTCTATAATATCTTGCCCGGACTATAAGTACGCTAATCTGGAACTCTCCGTTTGATATAATATAACATCATCAAATGCAGACTTTTTGAAATGGTTATGAAATATTTCTTTGATAGATACGTCCCGAATATATCGGGGGATTATTGTCCATTTACCCATAACTGAATTATCCAAAAGAACAACCCGTCGTTGCCGTATCTCGTGTTTTAAGGATTTAAGTTAATCATGATTAATTGGGCAATAAAAGTCCCTTTAAGTTCGAAATTTAGGTTGGGGAAATGAAATATGATTCATATGTCCGGAGTAAAGCCCATACGATGGACTTCACATTATGTGTACTTGTATCGAAACCTTGGTCCAGATATGAAAAAAACAGCACATCTATCCTCCTGCACAGAGTAAATTAAATTATCCCAAAGTTAGTTTTTTAAAATTAACTTAATCAGTAGGATAGGTAATAATTAGAACACCCGAAATGATGTCGATTTTCTATTGTGTTTGTGAAGCATAACTAAGGTTAACCCGGTTTCCGTTAAAGTTCAAATTATCTGACCTTTGTGGCAAAGGATGTGGTATAATTGGTTTGATAAAAGTTTAAAACAGAGTTTCATACATCGCTTGAAAGACAATTAATTGTGATGAGGCGTATAAATGCCACACCGCTTCAGATAAAATCATTTTGTTGATAAATTTCGAGGGGTAGATACAGTTTAAAAATGGCGATGAGGATAGGTTTTTGTGTTTTCCTGGTTATCGTAGCTCAAGGTAAGGAGTCCACCTTTATTTAAATATATGTATGCATGGGCATAATAGACGTATGTAATTAAAAGGCATCAACTATATGTTTTAAACAAGATGTTTGATAATACGTAGATATTTAATGGTTGATTTCGCTCTTGGGGATGGGGAGCCACGATGCGTAAGTGGTTCGCAAGAATGGAGGTCGTGGGTATCAGATTCATTAAATGCTGTTAAAAGACACATACAATAGGGATAAATTTAATTGGTCCACATTTTCCACTACATGGTCTGACAAGATAAATAATTCTTTTTCAGCCTACTGCCAACGAGAAGAACTAGCGTCGTATTTAAAGGGTATTGCCGAATCAGTACACGAAGTAATCCCAGATAATCCAAAGGACTCAGTGTCAATGAAAGTAGAATTCTCTCTGACAAATGTTGTTGATTATGTAAGTTAAAAATATGGTTATAATTAAAACCACTGGCCACCTTTCGGTTTATTTTGAATCCTTTATATTGAAACCGGGAGGGTTCGGTGACCTAGTGGTTTAACGCGTCCGTATGATATCACAAGGTCTGTCAAGTAGCGTGGTTTCGATCCCCCGCTTGAATGTGTCCAGGAATAAGGTTGCCTGTCCAGCCTCGTGGGTTTTCGCCGGGTCCTCCCATTGCTAAAGGTCCCTACGCGCAAGCGAAACAAAGAACCATATGTTTGTGTCGAGTGATTCAATTCCGTTCACTATTGTGCACTATTTGGCATCGTCTGCAGATGACTTAAACTGACATAGCCCGAATGATGCAGATGACGACAAGTTTGCTTTCTGTTACAGTAAATAGCTAAGATCAGTTGGTTTTGACTTTCGAACCCTGCAATTATGACACAATTTTAATGGGTTTGCTTTCTGTTACAGTAAATAGCTCAGATCTGTTGGTTTTGACTTTCGAACCCTATCATGTTCCGTGGCAGCATGATTACTTTGATAAAATTATAGAGATAGATTAACGTTCAGTGGGTCCTGGTGTGGGATCTGTCACTGACCTTTTCACCATCACATACTGGAACATTATCAACTGAATAGGGGGGTTGGATGGCCGAATGGTTAGCGCGCTGTGTTGGATCACAAGGCCTGTCATGGAGACAACTGGCGTGGTTTCGATTCCCCAGCTGTACGTGACAAGGAGTAGGGTTGCCTGTCCAACCTCGTAGGTTTTCTCCTGGTCCCCCGGTTTCTTCCCACTGCTAAAGACCCCTACGCGCAAGCTAATTATTGAAATAAAATTGAACCATACGTTAGTCCCTAAATGACCTAGTTCGTGTCGAGTGCACGTTAATCCCCATTTCTCTCTCGCGCTCACTCTCTCTCAACGGAATATCAGTTTCTTAAATATAGAATTTATTTACATCGGGAACAGATTATTTAACAGGGACATAAAGCCGGTACATTACTTTAAAACAACCATTCCGTCCCTCTCCCAAAGCAGCGACTGAACTCCGACGTGCCCATTAGCTTGTTTTTACTCCAAATCCGTTTAAAACAAATACGTGTGTATGAAGAGGTCAGAAGCCTATATCATACACACGTATGTCTGGGGTTCAGTGCATCTGAATAAATATTAGTATTTTATACGATATAATATAGTCTAAATTTCGTAAAAGTTATGTAGTCCAGTCAGTTAATGAAAGAACTGCAAGAATGGACTTTTTGATGGTAACATTTTTTTGTGGCGTTGGGTGTACTGAATGAAATCATGAAAGTTTACCAAAATTTGAGTACCGGAAAATCACAAAATTTGAGGGTAAGTTCAGGTTTTTAGGCCATTTTCCTTTAAAAGGTACGATTTCAGACAAATAGAGAGCGTGATTCAGACAAACAAAAAAAACCAAAAAAAACGAGTGAGATGTAGTTTAACCTCCACTCAAAACAAACTAAATCATTTCGGAACTAACAAATGGTTCAATTTAATTCGCTTGTGCGTAGGGTTCTTTAGTAGAGGGAGGAAACTGCAGGAACCGGAAAAAACCCCATGAGGTTTGACAGGCGACCCTACTCCTTGTCACGTACAACCGGGGAATCGAAACCACGCCTGTTGACTCAATGACATACCTTACGATACAGCGCGCATGTGCTAACCATTCCGAAACACATGAAACTGACGCCATGCATTAGGTTGCCAGGGTCAAACTTTTATATGGCATGGTTTTCGTACAGGTCGCAAATCACAGTAATACATTTACTGCTTGTTACTGAGCGACATTTCGACTAGACTTCTCTAGTCATTATCAAGCAATGACAAATTATAAAAATGTAACAAGATAATATATCCATGAACACAACACTACTTGGTTGATGCGGATTCAAAGAAGTATTAGGTAAGATTAGATAAAAAGCTGATAGTTCTCGCTATAATAGTTTAAAAAATAAGTAATGAAAACAGAATATACGGGAAATTTCAGTCAAATTGCTTCACCCGTAACCGAGATATTAGCGTTTCAATTTTAGGTTAGTCTCGATTGTCATTACTAACATTGGTACCATAATAAAACACAAGTTTCGATTAGATTATCCATCACAATATATATTTAAATCCACTAAATATCGCCGGCTAACGATGGCATTGAGAGTTGGTTATGGTCTGCATAAGTTAATTAATAATTTAGATAACATTTCGGGCCTAAAGAAAGACATGCAATGAGCCGATTTAGCCCTTGCATAATTAAGGTAATTTTATGAGAAATGTTTAATGCCAATAACGGCTTGTAGACCACTTTACCTGAAATTAACATTGATTAATGGGTAACTTATTGTGGTCTATTACAATGATTTATACAGTTTTTAATAATCACAACATCCTGAAAGAATTTGGTTAATATTATCACTTACATATATGCATGTAGATGTAAGTGATTTCACTTAAATATACATTAGATAAAGAGCAGGTAGTTCTCACTGTAATAGTTAAAAACTAGGTTAGATAAAGGGCTGATAGTTGTTACTATAATAGTTAAAAACTAGGTTAGATAAAGGGCTGATAGTTGTTACTATAATAGTTAAAAACTAGGTTAGATAAAGGGCTGATAGTTGTTACTATAATAGTTAAAAACTAGGTTAGATAAAGGGCTGATAGTTGTTACTATAATAGTTAAAAGCTATATAATATAAAGGGGATTTGCTGAAAATTTCAGTCAAATTGATCCAATCTGCACCGAGAAATGAGCGATTGAATTTTGGGCCTAGCCTCGATCATCATTGCTAAAGTCGGTACGATAAAAACATAGTCTCGATTATCCATTTGAGTTGAGCCGCAAATCGGATCCTAATCCAGTAAATATCGCAGGCTAGTGATGACATCGAGAGTTTATCATGGTCTGGATAAGTTAATTAATGTCTAATTACTAATTAAGATAATATTTTGGGCCTAAAGAAAGACCTGCAATATGCAGATTGTAGCTCTTGCACAATGTATTTTTAAATACAACAAACCATTAGAACTTTGACAGCACAACCCATCGATGGTCCCCTGGAGGCCGACTAATTAAATTAGTGAGTATTATTTAAACAGGATGCTATAGTGAATTAGAAAGGCAGAATTTGGACTATTGAGTGCATTAAATTTCAATAACAACTATTCTACCGACCAAGCAAAAGCAAATTAAAAAAAAGAGAGACCATTGTAATCATGCACATAATTTAGGTTTTTAATCTTGAGTAGATACGAGACTATTAAATATTAATTATTGATAACGAATGATTACGTAACGTATACGATCGGCATTAGCTCCGGGTAGGAATAATTCTTGATCACTGTTCATCGTTGGTTTTTATCTTCGTAATTGAATGGCTTCATGCAGTTCTCTTGTTGCTGATGTTTTTGCATAGCGCTTTAAATTTAACCATTGGCGGGGGTAGAGTTTATGTGTTCAGCTACAGCTGATTTGTGGTCATCTATCCTTTTATTTAACGACAGTTTTGTCTCCCCGATGTACGAATTTCCACAATTGCACTTTATTTGATAAAACGCATCCCGTTGGTTGCAGTGGTTGTGTTGGATTTAGTTTACCAATAAATTTTGTTCTTAATATATCTTTGCTGTTGTTGCTTTTTTGTGAAAGTTACATCTATTTCTGGTTGTTGCTGACGGGGTTTTAGGGTTAGCTTTACTCGCCGACAGGGTCTTATTAATGGTGTTTGTGACAAAATTCTCTGGATAGTCGTTCAAGTTTTTAAAAATGAACAATTTCCTTAGGCAGGTTCTCGAGATCACATGTCTTTTTTTGCACGATTAACCAGAGTTGCAATTGTGGCCGATTTGACACTATTGCCATTGGGCAGATTGAATTTAAAGTGAATATATTGTTCAGCGTGGATTGGTTTCCTGTAGACACTGGCACGGATAGAATTGTTAGTTCTGGATACACGTACATACATCGAGAAAGAGTTGAATATTAATTTCGGTTTCCATGGTGAATTTTATCCGTGGGTGTTACCTGTTAAGGTGTTGCAACAGCGTTTCTGGGTAATGCTGTTGTTTGATACAAACAAATTTTAATGTATCATCCACTCTTCTCACAAAAACAATTTGGGAGGTTATGGTGGACGTTTGAAGCACCCTCTCTTCTAAATCGGATAATAAGGAGAAATAGGTTGAATTTTATCAACAGGCGTATGATGTTGTCGGTTGGTACGGAGGTCTCATCCAGATTTTCCGGCGTGGTTCCCCCTTGTCAGTGATGCAGGACCGAACAAGGACAGCTGTCTAGTCGTTCGGATGGGTCCAAAAACCGAGGTCCTGTGTACACATTGACATGCACGTACGTAAACGATCCCTTGACAGTTGGACTTCGATATAAGAGTAGGCCGTAGTGCCGAGGTCCGGGCAAAATTGCCCTCATAGCACACTGCATGGCGTATGCCTGTCTTCATTAGCCCAGTTCGGAACAGAACAGTAGGACGTTAAACCCCATTTCATTTAATTTCTGTAGGGAGATCGCCAGTGGTTTGTCTAAGCTATCAATGCGCTTGGGTAGAATCTTGAGACTCTTCCTTAGGTACATTTGTAAACAAATCAACAACACCATATGAGACCATCTTCCCGGGGTATTGAATATTCTGCAATTTCTCACAGAATTCACCCAAATCTTTAATGAAGAACGGTGTTATTGTGCCAAGTGGATTGTGTTGTAGAAGACTGAATCTCGGAAACACATCAACAGGCAGCCTTTTATGTGGGTTTTGGAGGATTTTTTTATAGTAGCCCTGGCATAAGGTATCCGAGGGTGGTTTGATCTGAACTCGTAATAGAAAAATTTCCATTAATCAATTTGTGTTAAACATGCATTAAATGCAAGAGCTAAATTTGCCCATTGCAGGTTGTTTTTGTACTTAGTGTTTAACGTCCGCTTCCATCGAAGGTGATATCGCAGACAAGTTGTCTTAATTTCATTTTTATTATCTCAGCGTACGCGGAGGGTTCTTTCCTGTGGGAGGAGGAAACGGGAGTACGCGTAGTAGTAAAACCACGAGGTTGAGAAGGCGCACCTATTTCCAAGCCTCATACGCTTACATCAGGTGACCGGCCAGCTAGAGGTCGAAGCGTGACACTCTATACCACTAGGCCCTCCCAACCCTTTCTTTGGGTCTTAAATGTTATCTAACTTACGAATTAGACATTAATTAATCTTACGAATTGGGCACTTTGTCACAATACATTTTCGGGTAATATTGTTTGTTGGCGGGCTCACCTGTAAACATCCACTAATTAGTAAGAAAAAAGCAGATGGACGCACGAGGGATAACCATCCTATGTTCAAAATTTATATATGGGCAATTTATAGTTATAAGAAGAAGCCCATGGAATATGCCTCTTGAAACACGATGGTCTTGGTATTTGTTCGAAATTATACGCTATGTTCGCATTATTAAGACGAAGAAGTCAGGCGTATTTCAGCAAATGGTGTGGAATCCCAAGATGTTCAATCGATTATCTTATTCATGTGAAGTGAGGTAAGAAGGTACTTCCAATCGCAATCCACTAATGATGAAACTCGTTGATTATTTTAGTTAATTGTTATCTATAAATCCTAATTTATTAAAACATTTATTTGTATTTGTTTTCAAGAACCCCAAGAATCAAGTTTTGGATATAGGAGGTTGGTTAATGCTTAGTTGGGACGATGCAAGATTTGCATGGAATCCTAAACAATTTGGTAATATTAGTCAAGCTAAAATACCCGCTACTTCTATAACACAGCCAGACATCAAATTGTTCAATGGGTTAGTATTTATTAATACTATATTAAAATGGGTCTATCCGTCACACTTTTTGGGACTCAATATTTTTCCTTCTAATTGAGGTAGAATGTTCAAATTTGGTGTAGGTGAATGCCTTAATAGAGTTCGAAGATGAATATTTTCAGCTGAGGGTAAGCAGAGATAAGTAATTTAATTAGTTTCATTACACCCATACCTTGACCAAGTTCGATAATAAGCATTTGCTGCTCAGGGTAAGCAGAGTGATAAGCAATTTGATTGGGCGAGACTTTGGAACATAACAACTCTACTTTTTATTGACGTATGGATTTTCATTATGCGAATGTCTTGACTGAGTTCAATGATTAATATTTTGTCAAAACGTAGGAACATAACAACTCTGCTTTTAATTGATGTATAGAGTTTCATTATGCGAATTTCATTGGTCGATGCTTTGGGACAAGATAACCTTGATTCTGCCTATGGAGAGTAATGAAACTTAGTGTATAGTTTTACTACCAGGTACCTCAAAACCTGAGTTTGATCGTGAACATTTTATGCTTAGACTAAGCATAGATAATCAGTTTGATTACTCGGTACTTTGAAAAAAGATAAATGTGGAATTAATAAATATGTGTCATCTGTTTATTTTGGGATTTCGGCGGGGGACATCAGCCTCACTGTTGGCGTGTTTATTTTAATTTGTTGACGTACCAACCGAACTTTGATGCATTATAATATTCTCCAACCTGATATACATCATTTGTATTTTCCTTTTCTGTATATTTTTCTTAAACTCTGCCAGCATAATCAATCTAATTAACTTCCCAACTTTGCTTTCCAATATAGACTTACTTTTAGACAGAAACCAGTCTGACTTACGACAAGAATGCGATGGCCTCGTTCTAGGTACGTGTAACAACTGCGTGTCTGGAAAGTCGATCGGATGGGTTTAGAAGCCATTTTTCTGTATATAGGATGAAATTGCAAGTGCATATCCCTTAGTAGTTGGATCTGGAATGAACGTAATCAGAATAATCTATAAATGAAAGTCCCCACACCCATATGCCATTTGAATACATGCATCTTGTGGAATGCGTACGTTTGTTGCGTAGCAACCAAGGTAAACTGTGTTCTATTTATGATCAAATATATGAATCTAAAAGATTGGTGTTTACTTTTCAGAGCACGACACGGTATGACCATAGATGCCGATATCAAGTGTGTGATCTTCAGCACCGGAAACGTTTTATGTATACCTCTTGTCGATATTGAGAGTTACTGTCCGATTACTAACCCAGCAGGGGATACCTTCGATTGCAGTATTAAACTTGGCTCTTGGGCTTATGATTGTAACCAGTTAAATATTACTCGGGCTGAATCCTACCTTGATGTAAATGAGTTTAAGGGCGGTTGGAGGTGGCATCTGGTGGAATCGTCCTCGAATGTCACCGAAAGCATGTATCCGTGTTGTCCCGAAGTCTATTGTACTGTTAACATTGATCTGAAGATACGGGACAAATCTAGAACGCCACGAGGCAGATGGTACTTTCCTCATTAATGTTTGTAATCAACACCAAGACGGGGATGCATTAGTCATGAGTAGCTGCAATAAACTATGTGTCAGATTTTCCTTTTGAACGTCATGCATGTCTTTACCGAACCACCTTAATGTCAGGTGACATTTTCTCTTGCATGCCTCTCTTAATCAAACTAATATTTGTTTATATACTGCTCTGACGTTAGTTATATCCTACTGTGATATCAGCTATGTATTACTCTGATATTAAAGTTACCTCAAAACTAAAATCAGAAATATTATGTTGTATTTTCATTAAGAAACGTAATGAAAATTTGTGAAACTTTTCTAAGAAATACACTTTGTTTACAGCAACATTCATTTATACGCTACCTATTCTGGAATTCCCCGTGTAGGCCAAACGTATCAAATACAAGGACTCAATATTATTTGTGGGTTTTTGTCGTTGGTTCGTCACTTATTATACCGACTCTTATTGTTCTGACCATAGGGCAGGATTTATTGTATGAAGATGATTTCGGAATAATTAACTTAAGATTGGTCGAATATCAAATTCTTTTAAGTACGTCACATATATCTAAATTTCATTTCGTCAAATATCACTGAGCTATGTAAATTTGTGCGTTACCCTATATTTAGATTTCAATGGCTTCTACCAAGCCGTTTAGCAGACGGGAACGTATTTTTATCAGCATGCTGTGTCGCACATACTGACACTAGCGAGGTAAGCAAGATCTTATTTTCTTACTAAAATATTTCTTTACATCGTACAGGCGTTCACGGACACAGGGCTCTTTAGCAATAAAAAGTTGCCCAGTAAAATTGACTGGGGCGGTTTCTGAACGTACAGGGAGAGTGTAATGAGACCTACGTTCAGAGCTGAACTAGTACGAAAACAGTAGAGACTTGACAACCGTAAATTCCTGGTCCGTATCCGTATCGATTTTGTGTATTTCTCATATGAGATACGGTACGCGGATACGGCAGCACGTATAGAACAGCTTTCATACGGAAAGGTCTGTATAACATCGTTGTCTTTTTACAGTCTTTTTTTTCTACTTTTAGACGCTAAAATGTTGTACCATAGAGTTTTTATGAATTTATATGTCACAGAACACGAAGGTGTATATTTGATGTGATTTAACCATGATAAAGGCTGGAGTTTATTCATTAATTTTGATGAGTTTTTCTCGAATTTTTATATTTTGCCTGTTGGTCTGCACGCTGGTTGATCTACGTGCTACATTTTGGGAGATAAAAGGGTATAAACTTTCTAAAGTGATACATTAGTGAAACCAAAAATAGCTGTCGAGTCGAGGTCGAAGACCTGGTATCCTTACACTTTCTTTAACAGCTGCTCTCACTTCGCACTTAAGCAATTCCCATGCTAACTAATTTGGACAGTTTTGTATTGTATAATGTGGAAATCAATTTTAAATAAATTGTAGAATTTAGCACACATATATATATTATAAAAGGACATATAAATTACCATAATTTACCAAAAAGTCTTTTAACCCCGAATAATAAAAAAAAAACCCCAAAAACATCATTTGTGGGAGTAACATATTCTGCTCCATTAAATCGAATTTTAAAAAAGAAATCAGATATAAATGGGTTAAATGCAAACTAATAGCTATGAGAATTCCCCTGTTACCGGAAGTGTAACATTCTAATGTCACCGATGGGATGACCATGTCAATGTAACCATAATTGATCAGTTTAAAACTGGACCAATGTGATTAATTTCAGTGTTCCTGTTGTTTTAGTTATTTATTTGATTTTAAAATGTCACAGCTGTTTCCATTTATACAAATAGGGTATTTCCGTTGATTTTTCAATTATTTGCGACATTTCAATATATCAAGACAAACAATTGTACCTGATGACAGGTCAATTTGAAAAAGTGTGAACATCAAAAAAACGAAACTGATCTGTATATATGTGTCGAGTACTTTGAAGGAGTCTTCAGATCTCCACAGTGTATCGATAAATCGATTCAAACTGTATTTCGATATCCTGATATTTAAAGAAGCGCTGCTTATATTCTTTTTACTGGGTCTTGTCTGCAAACCTGGGGCCTGTTTCACGAAATTTTAACTTAAGATAAAATCCAAATGACTGCCATACAGTTGTACTTGCGCCTTCCTGCACCAGCCGGTGCATACGTCACGCAGTGTGCAATGAGGATACCATTTTCAACCGTTTGGCTGCCATATTGGATTCTATGAAAACCTGTAAAACGATATTCAGTCGCCATTGTGAATCTGATATTCGAATGTTTGAATTACGATTTTGTTTACTTCCCGATAATTTTTTTTCGACTTTTGACAATACCTGGTGTCCTCGCCGTTATATGACCCTTGACATATATGATGACCCTGACGTCTACTACATGTCTTGAAATATAACTTCCGGTTTTATTGAGAGTTCAAAACGACGGTTTCTTTTCCACTTTAATAGCTAATAATGAAGCCGGTAATGACTGATCCATCAATTTGGTAACCATGCGACCAGTGGTAAACAATTTACCCGAAGTAGATAATCTATGATCAACAATGACAATCATTCACTGAGCCATTCGTCGTCCCCGAATTTAAAGTCATGAGTGTATAAGTAAATAATCATTATTTGGGATGAATCGTGGCGTTTACCCCTTTTAAGACTGCATAGCGGGAGGCGATCTGTCAATAGTTTTAGTTGACTTTGTATGCATGCGCGACAATGGGATTCCCCCCTTTTCCAGTCTCATTGATTGTAAGAACACCGCAGTCTAGTTGAATTTTTCAAAAATAGTTTTGTTAAGATGAAAAATATAGCACCAAGGAATTGGAGTATTGTATAAAAGTTGTTGACCAGAATGAAGATTGGGACATGTTATTTAGTTACAGCTCGAGTGTGATCGAAACTTTAAATTTGAATTCCTGGTGATTGAACAAGAACATCTTAATTGTATCTCAGAAATTTGTTCTATTGATAAATAAATCATAAGAAACAATTATGTAAAAATATTGAATGAACTGTCGCGCTTGATCATACTTCTTTAAGCATACTGAACACTACTGGCTGGTTAGGAATTATGAATTGAGAGAGAGACAGAGAGAGATGGGGTTTAACGTCCACTCGACACAAACTAGGTCATTTCGGGACTAACATACGGTTCAAATTTATTTCAATAATTCGCTTGTGCGTAGGGGTCTCAAGCAGTGGGAACAAACCGGAGGACCCGGAGAAAACCCACGAGGTTGTGCAGGCGACCCTACGCCTTGTCACGTACAACCGGGGAACCGAAACGACGCTAGTTGCCCCAATGGCAGTCCTTATGATACAGCGCGCACGTGCTAACTATTTGCCCCCCCCCCCCCCCAATCGGGTTAAAAACCTCAAAATTCATACAAAGCTCAGACACCAAATCATTTTACGTTCTTTTACAACTTTGAATGTTATTATGTATATAAAGTAATTGTTCTAATGATATGTTCTGAGAAAAAACCCGGGGAGAACGTAAATTATTCTAGCTTTGTAATCATATTTCACGCGTTCAAATTGAATTACATTACATCGAATAATATCAAAAATATTTCGGAATGATCCAGTTGGAGCCTTGACATTTATGTTACAAGCAAAAAATATACATCTGTATATTGAAGTTTATATTTTAGTAACATGAAATAAAATACTTGGCGTGACAATCGTAGCATTGCCAAAAACGTTACAATGTGCCAGAATTCAAAAATACATGTACATAGTTTTAATCGAACAATCCACTGATGTAAAGACAAAGTAACTGAAGAAAAATTGCTATGTCACTGTTCATGCCCCACTCTAGCATAACATGGGGTGAGCAATTGGCCAGTTATAACAATTAGACCGAGTTTATGCTAGGTCATACATCTGCTAAAAATACAATCTCAAACAGTTATTTTATGCTTTACACTTACTATCTGAAGCAGCGCTAGTCATTCTGATTGGAATTAAAAACGAGACCCCGTGTACACATTGACGTGCATTGTGTCAGCCTCCGGGGAAATGTCCCTTAGAGCACACTGGTGACAAAGTCGGTGCAGAGCAGTAGGACAAATCCCATTTCCAGTTCTAATCGAAAGGTTCTGTTGAAGTAGTTTCAGCCGCAGAGATGGAAGACATTGGGGATACATAGATGGTATCTGGACCTAACTGGTTATTGTATACTTTCAACCCATTATGGACGAGGAAATACACGGGTCACACTTCTATGGAATACATTAACTTTATTACCGAAAGATACATTTAAAGCGTCAATACAAGACATACTAATTGGTTCGTTTGGTCATTCATCTTTATCAATCTTTATTACTGAGCGATCTTTCTACTAGAAAGATACATTTAAAGCATAAAAACAAGACATACTAATTGTTTGACATGGTCATCAATCAGCTTTTAATCCGCAAAACGTGTATTGAAAGACACAATTAAACTAACGATGCGCCAGTTGCATTTTTCGCTTAAACATCAGATTTCTAAAGTCATCACGGACAATAATATGTACCCGGGTTGATTATGACATATATGATTAAGAGAACAAAATCAAAAACTAACGCTAGATTATTTTCCGGTTTGGATTCGATCGGATTTAAAACAGGCCTGCCAATAAATATCAAGATGGCAACAACGTGACGACGGGCTTATTACATATCGAGGCAGCACAGAACAAAACTGATCCATCATTTGACTGTTGTTTCTAATAGAGATTCATCTTTTACAAAATTGTCTCCTATGCCACTAATATGGCATATCGAGACTTTAAACGGGCCATAAATACCAGTACTTT